TGATGGTCTATATAAAATAATTAGTTCTATTTCTTTTTTTTTCGTTCTCCAGTAATAATAACATCTATTTTTTTATTAGACCGGTTAGGTAATATAATTGATCAGACCATCTACATGATTGTATATTTCAACTTAATCTATTATTATATTTGAACATTTTAGAGGAGGGAGAAGAACTGTCGAAAAAATTATAAGAAATGTAAGATTCTGAGTATAATAGTGGTATTTGAAAGAAAAAAAAATTTATTTTCTAGACATATTTTATAAAATTTTGAAATGGTAGTCCAATTTAGAGAAAAAAAAAAAAACTTGAAATAAATTATATTTTGTATAAACATTTTTAGAAGGATTTAGAAATTAAAAAATAAATTTAATTTTTGTGTAGGCATTTTAAAAAAGATTATATTGTAAGAAACTTTGAAAACATTTCTTTATTAATTAATAAACAATAATGACATATTTTTTACATTTTAAAATTTACTTTAATTTAGATTCTATTAACTAAATTTCTAAGAGATATTACCATAGTATTATGAAACCCAATAATTTCATAACATGTGTATTTTTATAATTTATAAATTCAATAATTTGAAAAAATTATATTGACACTTTTTTTAAAGACCCAACAACGTTTTTACTTATAATATATAATTATTGCTTTCTAAAACATATCATTGTATGCCGGTCTTAGTTTAACATGGATATAATTTATTTAGTTCTTTTGAATATCTTGACATTGATTAAGCCAAGAACCATGTGGTTTAGTGTTGGATTATTTTAATATTAAATCATTAAGACATGTTATATATATCTCAGTGCTGAGATTTCATACCTGTTTGTTATAAAATTTCACATTGTAATTTTAATATATTATTCTGATATTTTGTTCTCTCCCTCTCTCATGGTTTTATGTCAGCATGTGAGAAAAAAAGCAAAGGTATATTCCTTGACCAGATAATAGCAAGTTGCAGTACTGTAGTATCTATATTTCTTATTTATTTTTTAATTAGTTTACATATTTATTTATTTATTCACTATTTAGATCAATAATGTTACATGTTATGTCACATGAGCTCGTCACATGGAAATTGGGCATGTAGCGTTGTCAATACATTAATTTAATAACCATATCAAATGTTAATATCCTACAAACATTTATATCGAACAAGTTTGGCATGAGACAAAAAAGACAAAAAGTCAAAAAGTCACTATCCTATTTAAGTCACATCATCTTATTTAAGTCACATCACCTCTCCACCCCGCTAACCGTTCTACACCACCACCAAAAAAAAAAAAAAAAAACCCTTAAAAGAAAAAAAAAAAAACCAAAAAAAAAAAAAAAACCCCCAAAAAGGAAAAAAAAAAAAAAAAAAAAAATTGTAAACATACCAAAAATCCATGCCAACCAACTTGGCAATTTAAGATTGTTTGCCGCAACTTATATGAGTTGCACTTATAATTTTTTTTTCTTTATTTTAAGAGTTTTTACCAGATTTTTTTATTTTTTTTTTTAAACTTAAATTTAATATCACAAAAAAAAACACCATAACTAAACAAGCAAGGGGCATACCCCAGCAGCTTATAACTTAAATTTAATATCACAAGAAAACACCCTAACGAAACAAGCAAGGGGCATTCCCCAGCACCTCAAAACAAAAAAAAAACCGAGCAACTAAACCGTATCAGGCAACAAACTAAAAACATAACTACAGAACCGGAACAAAAAAGCAAGGACTAAGGCTTTATTTGGAATTAGATTATTTTAGTAATTTTTTAATTTTTTTTGAAAGGATATATAAAAAAATAAAGAGAATATTGTGACAATTTATAATAACTTTTTAACTTTCTGACTAAAATATCTAGTCTCCAAACGAGACTCAAGTTTTATGATTGCAAAATAGAGGTATCCTTAGACCATCTCCAACGGTGAACCAAATTTACCATCAGATTTGAATTTGGTGAAAAATTATCATTTTTATGGTTTCAACGATTTCATCAAATGCATATTAAACACCAAAAGTTTCACTAAAATGAGAATGTGCTGGGTCTTTCACCAAAACACTATTCATTACCGTTGTATTTTCACTACCAGATGACCAACTGGATGACCTATCGGATAGCCAATTTTTGCAAAATTTTGTACAGATTTTACATTAGGAGGTCGACCACCTGGTTGACCCCTCAAATGACCCTCAAGCTTAAAACAGAATTGTACAGATTTTGCTCTTTCCGGTCGGTCGTCCCCCCGGACGTCCAGTGCGTTTTGATGAAAGGTACAGTACCGTTGGAGTGATTGATATCAGATTGAGCCAAACATCTTTTTTTTACTCAAATTTGATAAAAAATTGATTCAACCATTGGAGATGCTCTTAATTATTATAAATTGAAGTTTGTGCCAGATTGTCTCAATGAAGTTTTTACTTATAGCATGTTATGTAGAAATAATTTAAATAATTAAAAAAAATTAATTATTTGGAAGATGGAAAAGGTATGCTTTTGATTTTTTGCTTTTTTATTAGGGTAAACTATTAATAGATCTTAATAATTAGACTTAATTCTCATCAAATTTTATTAAAAATAAATCATAGTAAAATTGTTGTTAAAAATAATTTTTTTTAACGATTTTTTATATATCTCTAAAAATTGACAATTAATGACTTTTTTGTAATGATTTTTATAAATTGTCGCTAAAGCTTAAAATTAGTGATGTTTTCCGTGACGAATTTTTCAAACTATTACTAAAATTTAAAAATTAGTGACTTTTTTGTAATGATTTTTTCAAATTATCGCTAAAACTTATAATTAGTGACAATTTTTTGTGACAATTTTTAAACTGTCGCTAAAAATTAACAATTATTTTTTTATTAATATTTAATAAAAAATATCATTAATTATCATATGACTTATTAGATAATAAATCTACCTGTTAAAATTTACATGTAGGTCTCCTTTATTATTATTAGTTTTTAATCTATATTAATAAGTTGCACTCAACAGGTCATAAATTCGGTTTTCCAGTTAGATTATATCATGGTTTGATGAAGCTATCAGCCTGGCCCGATTCTGAAAAACTATAAGATTGACTTTAAAAGCCCAAGCCCAAGTCAAGGCTGAGGTTGAACAATAGTATCCAAGTCCAACTAAAACTGTTGATGGGACTCAGGTTGGACTTGAGTCTACCTAGATTGCAGCCCTGAGGCGCCCAAAATTACTAACCATAGCCCAACGAGGAACTCCCTAGCTTGTGGAGAAGTTATTTGGCGTTTTTATGTTCTATTTGGAATGAGATGGAATGGAAGATTGATTTCTTAAGTAGATTTGAGAAGAAATTTAAAAATAGAAAGAGAAAATATATATGAAATTAAGACATATTTTATTCAAATTTCACTTACTTTTTTTTTTTTCTTTTCAAATCCCTTCTGAAATTCCCAACCAAACACAATATTAAGGTCTATTTGATAAAGTTTTTGTTTTAAATTTTTTTTTTTATATATACAAAAATTTAAAGATTATCATATAAACTTGTTTGGTAACTTTTTGAGTTTATAAATAAGTTCCCTCAAATTAAAAATTAAGGCAAAAACCATATATTCAAAAAAGCCGTTTACATTTATTTATAAACCGAAATGAACATGGAAAAGAAGCGGAAGAAAGCATGGAAGAGAGGTAGAAGGAAGGGATGGGCACAAGAAGGTTAGGAGTTCAAACCCCAGTTTCTTTATTTTGAAGAAAAAGCAAAAGGACACAATTTATTTATTTATTTATTTTTTTTTGGGGGGGTTCAAATCAAACGTGTTTACAATTTTTATTTTATTTTTTAAAATAAACAAAAATTAGTTTATAATTTTTTTATAAATAAAAATGAAAAATATAAGGTTTTACTATGAAATGATCATTCCCTTGACATACTGAAAGATTATTTCATTTATAATATATTTGTTATTATATTTTTAGTGTAGCCAAGCATAAGAATAAATACTTTAATAAAATGAACATTCCATTATATTTCATTTTAATAAACCAAACACTATCTTAGAGTAAGATCACATGGTGCTCTTGCACCAATGGAATGGTGTATATTAATGGGATTGACTTTGGTGGAGTTCGAAAATTTATCTAGGATAAACAAAGCGTGTAAATTTATTCACACAAATATAAACAAAAACAATAATACAGAGTTTTAATTTTAGAATTCTAAATAGTGTTCTAATGATGTGGTAAGAGGGAAAAAAAAAAATATAGGCACACATATCATATCACATGTGGACTCCACTCCTTACCACATTACTAAAACTCTTTTTAGAACTCCAAAATTAAAACTCTCAACCTTTATTCTATAAACAATGCACAATTTTCTATTAGTTGAATTAATGAGTGATCCCATTAAAAATTTAAAACCAATCAATCAAATGTTATGTATCTTTAACATTGCGCGAACACATTGATTGTTTTGTTTTCGTGATAAAGACATAATTAAATTGTTTGGTGAGAATGACAAATTATTGTTTTAAAGGATTCCCCCCCCTCCCCCTTCCCCCCCCTATTTTTAGCCCACTTTCGGTGGAAGCCGGAAAGTCGGTTGAGGTGGCTGGTGATGGCTAGTGATAATGATATACACAAATAAGTAGATGGCATGTGAACAAATATGTGACACGTGGACAGATAGATACAAATAGATGACACATGAATAGATAGGTGGACAATGAATAGATACACAAATATGTAGTGGTAATATGATTTTTTAAATTGTTATTATTCTTATGGTCCTAAAAATTAGTGTCTGGAGTTATTATCCCAAAATTTCAAAATTGAATTTATGGCCCAAGTGTCCAAGAAAAAAAAAAGTCACAAAACAACTTGAAATAGAACAAGCTGTTTCATTTAGAACATCATGTGTTATGCTGAGATCTCCCTGACAAACAGTTCATATAGTACTTTGAATTTGAGCCAAGCTCAAATACAAGCAACAAATTTTAACAACAGTATGGAATTGATTGATATAGAAGATAACAAAATCAGACTCTAGAATAATAAACAAGCACAAATCAAGGGAAAAAAAATAGGCATCAACAATACCTTCTTCCGATACATAGATGATCACATCTGAAAACTTTCACAGCTCAAAGCAAATACTATATTGTTTTGAGCACTTCTGAAATCTTTAAGGTTGTATTCACCATATACAAATTAGAAACAAAAAACTCATATTTTGTCCTCAAATCACAGAACAAAAGCACAAACATGGAAAAATACAAACAGCTCATCAAATGAAAAGCCTACCTTCACTCACCGCGCATCAGCAGAAGTGAAGGACTCCGCGAATCCAGCTGGCCTTGCCGGTATACTTCCCTTGCTGTCCTCGAGACTCGTGCTGCTGAAATTCTTGGTTTCTGCTTCTTGCCATCCTTTCAACATCTCAGGAAGAGGTAGATTGTAATCAATTCCAGAATATTCCTCTGTTTCTCCATTGAATGGTTTCCATTTCTCAACCAGTGGAGCTAACATGTTGACTGCGTGTCCCATATCGGGCCTATGGTTTGGATCTCTAGCAGTGCAATGCCCGGCCAGTTCAGCTATGGCGTAGATGCTATCGAAAATCTCCTCTTTGGCTTCAAGAGATGGGTCGATGGCTGAAATTAGCTTTTCTCGGTTTGCCTTTATTTGCCAGAACCACTCAGCCAAGTATCGGTTCTCCTCAGAACGCTGCTCATCAAGTGCCACTAGTCCTGTCAAAAGTTCCATCAGCACCACTCCATAGCTGAACACATCGGCTTTGGTTGTAATTTTTCCTGTCACTGAAACAAACAAAAATTCGGGTAGATAATTAGGAAGTTTGATGGATAGATAACTTGTTTCCCACCAATAAATCTTTTTAACGAATTCCTGCTAGGAATATTTTTTTTAGTATATCCAAAGAGTACAATCAAGGATTTTTGTGCGAGACATTGTGTTCTTGTTGAATATGAGATTCTAAATGCATGCTCGTACTTAATGTTTTTTGGCTGAAATTCAAGAGAAGTATGTTATGTGGACTTGCGCTTAATATGAAATTAAACAACTTCATATCAATCAACACAGTTGAACAAAAATAAATAGAACACAATTGCAAAAAATGCAGTTTATTGCTTTCTCAATCTGGAAGTTCCACATCAAAAAACATGACAATCCATAACCATTCTGAATGCAGAGGAAAAGTAGGAAAGTGTTGCTTTATAATTAGTCCACCGCATAGATGCACAAGTTTTAATTTTGGCAGTGCAAGAGGTCATGCTTATCAATGTTTACATTGAAATATGATTTTGTTGTGTGAAGCACAATTATGTCAGCAATAAACTAATTTTTACTTCTAAAATTTAGAAGGAAAATAGTTTTGAGGTTTCTTGACAGGTGGCATCATGTGTTAATTACAGATATCATGTTCTCCGAAAACTGGACACCAAATGTTGCAACATATATTGCTATAAGCATTACAAAGTGTTTTAGTGAAAACAGAGCCAGAGAAAAATATAGGCTCTGAGTAGCAACATGAGAGGAAATTTTATCACCGTTGAAAGTATGAAAATCATATATATCTGAATAACCGTAATAATATTTATGTTTAGTCATAAGCTTAAAGATACAAGACTATATCGTAAAAGTGACAGATTTGCAAAGGATTCCCAAAAAAAAAGAAGAGGGTTTTCTTACCAGCATATTCAGGTGCAAGGTATCCAAATGTTCCAGCAAGCCTTGTTGCAACAGACTTCTCTCTATCAGGAGCAAGTTTCACTAACCCAAAATCAGAAACTTTTGCTCTAAAGTCATCACCCAGAAGAATATTCGAAGATTTGAGATCACGGTGAATGAAACTTTGGTGTGCCAGAGTGTGAAGATACTCCATCCCTCTAGCAACATCTAAAGCAATATTAAGCCTCCTCGTCCAAGACAGAGGCTCCAAATTCAAGTTTTCCCAACGAAAAAGATGCCTACTTAGAGCCCCCTGAGGCATATATTCATAAACCAAAAGCCTCTCATTGCCTTGAATGGAGTAGCCCAAAAGAGACACCAAATGACGGTGTCGGACCATAGACAGAACCGCAATTTCAGCCCGAAATTCATCCAAACCTTGGCTACTAATCACCCCGGCTTCCATTCTCTTAACTGCAATTTTAGTCCCATCTTCGAGCTCACCCTTGTAAACCGCACCAAAACCACCACGGCCAAGCTCATTTTCTGGTGCAAAATTGTTAGTAACCTTTCGAAGAACCTGAACTGAAATGATCAAGTTTCCAGTCTCGATCACATGAGCATTTTCCACTCTGGTACCAATTGGACATTCGGATTCTAAGCTTCTTGAGGTGTTATTAGAGACTGCAATTTTAACTACGTTATCAGGATCAGACGGGTCTCTAGGGTGGACCACAATTGCACTTGGAGTAGTTGCTACATTGTTTTTCCTTTTCTTGACGTTGTACAGAGAAAAAATAACCAACAGAAGAAACATAATTGTAGAACCTGAGGCTGCAGCCACAATGGCAATTACTTTGGATCTTTTATAGTTTCCTGGTTTGGGTTTAGATGAGGAAGGCGGGCCATTTGAAGATGGTGATTGAGAAGTTCTAGGCAATGAGTTGTTTGATGGTGATTGTGAGTAAGGGGATGGGATGCTAATTGGTGAGGGAGGTCCCTCTGCCCGATTAGCAACCAATAGAGGATTGCCATCTGTAATGACCTTAACACTGTCAGTGAAATTGGGTAATGGAGGCTGAAAATTGTTCCCACTTATATCCAACAATCTCAATGATCTCAATTCAGTTAAATTTGTGGGGACTTGACCACTTATATTGTTTCCTCCAAGATGAACTTCGATCAGCGAACTTAGGTTTGCAAGTGAAGGACTCAGAGTACCATTAAGCCTTTGCTTCTGCAAATTTACAATAGAAACCACACCCTCTGGATTACAACTCAACCCCAACCATGGTCCTTTACATGGGTCATTACCAGACCACTGTGAAGCAAGATTTGATGGGTAATTCAAAGCATGGAGGAAATCTAAAAGCGCGTTAACTTGAGGAGCACATTGCAACCCAGGACTAGTTTGGCAAAATGAATTTGAAGAGAATGTTACATTACCGGATCTGAACTTTGGGATTGGACCCATTAGCATATTATTGTTTAAATTCAACAACTGAAGATCCATAGTGACCATGCTTTGTGGAATCAGACCCACTAGTAGGTTTCTATTAAGGTTGAGTTCTTTCAAAGAAGTCAGAGCTCCAATGTCATCTGGAATGGATCCAGTGAATTGATTTCCGTGAAGCCATACCTGTGTGAGAGACACCATCGATGCAATTACATCAATTGAACCAGTCATTCCACCGCCATCTTGATCATTCAACCACAAAATCTGCAACATTGAGTCATGGAAACTCGCGGGAATGACACCGGATAATCTGTTATAGGAAAGTCTCAAAGAACTGAGAGACGAAAACTTCCCAAAAAAGTCCGGTAAGGTTCCAACGATATTGCAACTTGAACATGAAAAATTTGTCAATTGAACTGAATTCTGCAACTCATCGGGTATAGACCACCCAGTCGTGGCATTAAACGGGTTAAAATCCAAAGCGAGGACACGAACACTACTAAGCCCATGGAAGAAATCCGTGGGGATGGAATCGAATTCATTGAAATCGACGTAAGCGAATTGGAGTTCAGACAATCCACTGAAAGTGGGCAAATTTCCAGTAAAATTGTTCTTTTGAAGCCCCAAATTGTAGAGCTTTGTGAGCTGGTTGAAGTTCTGAGGAAGGGTACCATTTAGACCCAAATTAGCAACCTGAATTTGTGTGACTCTGCCATTAGAGCAGAACACATGAGGCCATGCGGGAGGGCCACAAGGGTCATTTCCATTGTTTGGCCATTTCAGGAGCTCTGGGTTTTGCAACCCTTTTCTGAAATCACTCAGAACTTTAGCATCATTAGGGTCTGTGGTACTAAAAGCCACACTGATGAGATACAAAACAATTGCAATGCACAGTAGTCCTTCACTACCATCCATGATTTTAGCTCACAAAAACCTCTTGACATCAAAATATCACTATTCAAAGCCTATTTTTGGCATGTAACACAGACCCAGATGTCAAAAACTTGGAAACACATGATCACAGATCAAAACAATGTAATGAAAAGCAAAATTGAACCAACCTCAGATGAGGAAAGAGAAGATTCAGCATTGAAGACACCAAACAATGCCATTGATTAGGAGGCTTTTGAAAGGAAATGTTGAAGACCCAGAAGAGAAAAATGTGGAGATTTCAAGCAGAGACAAAAGAGAGAAGTGAACCCAATTCTCTTTTACTTTAGGGTTTTCTGTTAAAGTTGGATCAAACCCTAAAGATGACTGAGCACACCTCCATAACTCTCTCTCTCTCTCTCTCTCTCTCTCTGCTCACTCTGTTTCTCTCATTGTCTTCTTTTTTTTTTTCCACAATATTTTAGTAATTTTTCAGATTTCATTGGTGAAATTGACTATATTGCCCTTTCTTTCGGCCTAAGCTACGATGACGTGTCTATGTAATTTACATTTATGAAATTTACTTAAATTGAGCCTAGTTGGGGAACAGGTTAATTTAGTAATTTTTTAGTTATTTGGTTAAAAAAGTAGGTAAATTTTTTTTATGTATTTAGGATATTTTTTGGCTAATTACAAAAAGATGTGCAAAAAGTAGAGAGAAACGAGAATCTTTGACTTTTTGATATGAGTTATTGGCTTTTTGGCTAAAAATGTAACTTTTTGACTTTTTAGCTAAAAAGATAAGTCCCCAAACGGGGAGAATTTAGTAATGATTTGAAACTTCAAATATTGAACTCTAAATCCACCATTAGTGAGATAGAAATGAAAAAAAAAAAGAAAAACAACACATACTGTGGCAGTGGACATCACTATTAGTAGCACTAATTAGAGGTCTCAAGTTTTATTCTTTATAATTATATGTAATCCTTATAAATACGGCTTTGTTTGAGAGACTTTTGAGGGAGTTTATTTTAAGCTTAGTTCAAACTATTTAATGTAATTATGATGGTGTATAAGATATTTCAAGAGATAAGATTTAATTTTTAAAATAATAATATATTAAATAAAATTTAAAAATATATATGTAATTTAATCCGATTATTTATAAGTCATGCTGGGGAGACAATGTGTGGGACCTACTTTAGTAGTAGTTGGGTAGGCAGGCTTATTTATTAATAATTTAAGAGGACCAAAATGGCTCCAAAGTTCTCGGGCCCTTGGTCTGATAGGATATTTCGTTCTCAGCCACAGTCCTGGTCACGTGAGTTTCATGCAAAAGTAAAACCGGGTCGGACCCACACCATATGGTTTGGTTTTGAATATAGTAATTTTGAGGACAAATTATATTTTCTCCATTATATCATTTTTGTTCTTATATTTTTAATTAACTGAATTTTGATGTTTAGTTTTAAAGTTTCTATTAATTTAATTCAATTATAATATCATCGTCAAAATTGATTGAGGTTAACTTATTAATTTAAATAAATTTATAATTTAATTCTAAGAGGCATAACATATGCTATTTATGTGCATATTTTTTATTAAAAAAAATCAATAGATGACAATTCTTCATTAAAAAATAATTTTTTATGATAATTTTTTACATATGTCGCTAAAAATTGATAATTAGTGACTTTTTTGTCACGATTTTTACAAATTGTCTCTAAAATTTACAATTAGTGACATTTTTCTTTGACGAATTTTTTAAATTGTTACTGAAAGTTAGTGAACTTTTTTTTTGTGATAAATTTTTTAAATTGTCGCTAAAATTTATAATTAGTAATATTTTTTTTTATAAAATTTTCAAACTATCATTGAAAATTAACAATTAATGACGTTTTTAATAATGTTTGATAAAAAATAGGGTAAATTACAAATACACCTCCTGAGATTTGATTAAAATACAAATCACCCCATGTGGTTCTGGAAATCACACTCCACCCTCTGAGATTTTTAATTTCATAACAAATCATCCATTTTATTAATAAATTATCTAGTCAGTTAACAATTTTAATGATGTTATAAATATGTTTTAATTAATAATTTAGGTAATTTTATTACTGTATAGGCAAGCAATTATGATTTTTTTTAGTTAATTCTGTTAAATAAATTTTTTTAATAAGGGGATATTTGTAAATTTTCAAACTACATGGGACAATCTGTATTTTAAGCAAATCTTAAGAGGTGTATTTGTAATTTATCCTAAAAAATATTATTAATTATCATAAAATCTATTAGATAATAAATCTACTTATTAAAATTTACACGTAACCCTCCCTTACTATTTTTCTAAGATGGTCTGTTTTCAATTTATCATATAATGAAATAAAGTCAAAATAGTTAGGTGTTGTTTGATAAAGCTGAAAATTGAAAATTGAAGATTGCAAATTAAGTATTGAAAACTAAATACTATTTTTTTTTAGTTGAAAAATTATTTGATAAAAATTTAAGTATTGAATTACAAATAAGTTGCTTAATATGTATAAAATTAAATTTAAAATTTATTATTTTTAAATAATATATTTTAATTTTTATATTGTGATGGTGGTGGTGACAGTGGTGTAGTGGTGGTGGTGGTGGTGGTAATGATAGTAAATGATGGTGGTGTTTATGACAATAATGACAATGATGATGAAAGTGATGGTATTAGTGGCGACGGCGATGATGGCGTAGTGGTAGTGGTGGTGGTGGTGGTTGTAGTAGTGGTGGTAGTGGTGGCGGTGGCGATGGCATGGTGGTAGTGGTGGTGGTGGTAGTGGAAATAGTGGTGGTGGCAGTGATAGTTGTAACGCCCCGATTTCTGGGCCGCTAAAAAAATCAAATCAACCTCGAATTGATAATTTGTAGATAACTCATAATCTCAAATATACAAATTGTCTCCATAAATAATTAACTCAAATGTCTCCAAAACATAAATTATACAAATCTCCAAAATAATATATAGTTGTGGACTAAAAAAAAAAAAAAACTCTAACTCAAATAATCTCTTTAGATGCTTCAACTCCAATGGCCACTAAATTTTTGCTCCACGCCTGAAAAATAAATTAATTCGGGAAGTATACAATACAGCAAGAATAATAAGGCTCGGACAGAAAATAAATCAACAGAGATCCAATAATTACACAACCGATTAGATTCGATAATCAGGCAATTTACCAAATTGCACAAACAAGTCAATTTGACATACGATAATTTATCCAGAACCAAATACCCAGTCCTACCCGGCACATGACCAGTGACTGGCCTCACCCTCCTCACCTAAGTACAACCGCTTATCCGGGCTATTGGTACAGAGCATATTGGCAAGGTCTACTCGATCCATGTACGGAGCATTTCCACGTCATTTAGCCAGACAAATCAACATTTTCAACACAGAATAACTACACAGAGTTCATCAAATGACTAGAGTAATCAAATAAATCAACAACGAATAATTCCACCGAATTTATCAAACGATTAGAATAATTAAGAGGAGTACAACTTTATGGGAATTAAAAATAAACTCTTTACAAAAAGAATTTAGAAAGCATATTGTATACCACTGAATTACCTCAAATCAATCTCCTTCGTCTCCAACACTCGAATCTCGATCTTTCTCCATGAATCTCCAAAGTGGCATAAGGTATGTAAGATTCTACAACTCTCTTCATTTACAAAAATGCTTACACTCACTCTATACACTCTTAATCTAAACTGAAAATTTCTATAATTTAAGAAAGAACAAAATGAGAGACATAGAGATATGAATGGACCAAGAAGAAGAATGATAGAAATGGTTGAGAGGTGAGCTCAATTTATAGGTAAGGATACTTGGGACAAAAGAAAATGAAAAATAATAAAATAAAGTTTACTTGGTGGGAAAGAAAGGGGTGTACTTGGTACTTTTGCTTCTAGAATGCCATGATTACAAGCCTTAAGAATTGATCCATCACGCTCTCCTAGGTTGGCCGGCTATGGTAAAGGAAAATGAAGAATATTTTATTCAATATATGTGTACTATGGACATATTCCCAATGTATATATATAGAATTGGTACCAAGGTCATCATTGCTCCAAGATTTCAAGGGATTTGTTTGTATTAAAGTACAATGATTATGGCTTAGAAGGTATGATGGCTAGCCATGTGCTCAAGATTTGGGGAGATTTTCCTATTTATTATGTGTACAAATTTCATAAATATTGTGTACAAAAAGATTTGATGAATAAGAGGTACAAATATATATATATATATATATACAATGGTACTAACTTGGGGTCAAAGAAATGAAATTTACTTGGTGCCCAAGAATAATAAAAAAATATATATTAGAAAACAAAGGAGATGAATAATAATGACGTGGAGAGAAAAATAGATAAAATAAATGGAGAAAATAAGTTAGATTCTCATCTAAATATCTCACCACCAAATTACCACCAATACCTCCCACTAAAATATTAATACCTCAAAGATACGGGGTTTCACAATAGTAGTGGTGGTGGTGAGTTTATAATAGTTTATATTGATACTTATGTTTAGTCTTTATAAATTTAGTTAGAATTAAGCAAATTTATATGATTTAAAATTTTCTTAAATTTTAGCTTACATTTTAAAAAGCAGTTAAATTTTTAAGTACTATCAATTATCATTATCAAACGGACTTAATTGATTATCACTTAATTAATTTAATTTTAAGTACTGAATCATGTTATCAAATATCCCCTTATGTGGTGTTTGATAAAACTAAAACTGAATATTGAATACTGAAAATTAAGGCCAAGTTTAACAAGTCAAATATAATCCAAAAAACCAAAAAATTATACAAAAAGCAAAAAATATATTATTATTCACAAATAAAAAATATTTTATATATTTTTATAACATAAATCCACTAACAACGTCGCAGCCGTTAAGCAGGCTATCATACACTTAAAAAAAAGTTGCCTTATTCGGGGCAAATAACTTTTGGACAGTGATAGTCGGTCTGTAAGGGCCATCATGGGTCCCATTTTAATAATCTGAACCGTGCAATATATAGAACTTGTCGAGTAATATATATTTATAAAAAATCACGTTGATCGGATATCGTTAACTATATGATCAAATCAGTTTTGTATAAACAAAACGGATGATGTGATAGTTAATTGTTGAACAAAACTAATCCGATCATATAGATATCGATATCCGATCAATGCGATTTTTTACAGGCATATAATACTCGACGAATTGTACATATTGCACGGTTCGGATTATTAAAATGGGACCCATGATGGCTCCCACAGACCGACCATCACTGTCCAAAAGTTATTTGCATCGAAGGAGGCAATTATTTCTGTGGAGACATGCTACGCAGCCGCAAGGGAGCCGTACAATCAATTAATTTTCTTTCACTATACACTTTATTTATATAATTTTTTTATTACA